GCCAGAAGATATCATAAAATGATAAGTTAATAGAAGAACTCTCTTCTAACCTCTTATGATAATAATATAGACATTGTATTATTTTACAAAGAGATTCATTTTCATTGAACTTAAAACAGAAGTGAGACACTGGGATAATGTTTAGCATCATAGGGGAGGCGTAAAATGTGAAACGTTTAAAGAGACGAAAATTTAATTCGGCCTCACGGTTTTCAGTTTCTGCTCATTTATGTTTAACTTCGAGCGAATATATTAGAGAATGCATCAATTTATCTCCCATCAAATATGGATTAATTAACAGTGCAAACTGTGATCTCTGGCTTTGAGGTAATAACATGGCTAAGAGAAGCAAATCTCTTCATTTATATCCTCCCTGAAGAGAGGTGGGTTCCATCAGGGGATCTTTCCCTAGACACATGCCTATTTCTGCCATTACCGTCAGGATTTAATGCCTTCCGTGTTCAGACCACCCCTACACATTTTGGGTAATCAGTGCAGTAAGTGCTGGGAGATTGAATTTTCCCCTGCAAGTTTGGACTCGGCCGTCGGACGAAAGACATAAAAATACTCCTTCATCAAGAGAAGTAGCAAGAGAAACAGTAGCAAGAGGAACAGTAGCAAGAGGAACAGTAGCAAGAGGAACAGTAGCAGCAGTAGATTTGCTGAAAAGAGTCATTCCCGGCTAAACATTCTCTCCCCTGGTTTCTATTCTAAATTATGTTTCACTGTACCAAAAATAATAAACTTCTTAAAATAATTCCGGTTTTCTAATGTTGTTTTTGATAACTCAGTTACAACAGTAAGGTTGGTCATTTTGGGAAAATATATCAATATTAATATACGTATTATATTAAAGGAATCAGAAAATCATTTAAATATTAAAGAAAAAAAAACATAAAAGGAATGAACGTAGTGTTCCCAGTAAGCACAGGAGCCAGAAGATATCATAAAATGATAAATAAATAGAAGAACTCTTCTAACCTCTTAAAATAATAATATAAACATTATATTATTTTACAAAGATATTCATTTGAACTTAAAGTGATTGATGTGGGATAATGTTTAGCAACATAGTGAAAGGTGAAACGGATAAAGGCGCAAAAATTTAATTCGGCGTCCCGGTTTCAGTTTCAACTCATTTGTGCCTTACTTCGAAGTTAATACTTTAGAGAATGCATAAATTTTTCTCCCATCAAATATGAATTAAATAGCAACACAGACTATGATCTCTTGACCTGATGTGGTAACATGTTTAAGAGAAGCAAATCTCTTAATTTATATCCTGCCTGAAAAGGAATGGCTTCCGTCAGGATATCTTGCCCTAGATACACCTACTTCCGCACCAGCTGTGGTACCTTTCTGACCGTAATGGATGTTTAGTGAATTAATATGTTTGGCTATTGCTAATAAGTTTAAGTTCCATCCTAACTGGGTGTCCATACTTTGTGATAAACATTTGCCAAGCATAGCTGATGACGACTCTTTTAGAATAAAATCTCAAATACTCTTTGTAAGACTTAGTTTCATTAAAACCATCAGGGCGAACGGCCACATCAGTTTGAAATACCGATTCTCGGACGATCACCAAAGTTAAGCATCATCAAGCCTAGTTAGAGAATGGATGGATGACCGATTCGGAATACAAGATACTTTAAGATTAGATACACGGGTGGTGTAATGGATAACGGCTTGGAATTGTTAATCGGGAGAGCTGAGTTTCAATTCCTATTGGATTCCTTATTATCTCTTGGAAAAGGTATGAATCGACATCTTTTCCTCCAGCTATGGGTTAATTAGTAAGACTTGTATCGTTAAAACCGTTATAATATCCAAATAAATAAATACACAATATTTAGATTTGGGCATTAAATAACCCATGGAGGTGTTGATATGCCGCTAAACAAAAACAACCAAGCAAGTCAACCCACAAGTTTGTACTTTATTTTGATATACTAATTCATGTTGGTGAGATTACTTTAATGAACCCGGGACCCAAGAATGGAAAATGAGACAAGAGCTAGAACATGCCAAGCAGCTCCAATAAAATAGCACAAGACCTTACAGAATTACACTGGCACCATTTTGGTGCCAGTTGTCAAAGACAACGCTTCAATAGTGATGGAAAAGTTGGAACATACAAAGAAATTATTCTTCATTTATGTATCTTGTCCCTTCAGAACGTTGGCGAACATGGCCCTTCACATCTTCATGTACCTCTTAAATTTTGTCTTTTTGTTATTTGTCATATAGGAAGAAACTACCGACAGGTGTATAAATAGCAGTGTCAGGATCCTGACTGCAGTGATTACTGAGTGGAACTATTCAGTCGAATTAGTGTGAATTACTGTGCGTCGAGGATTTGGTTTCGATTTAGGATTTACCGGACTTTAAATAATTGACCATTTCAGTGAATACCTTGTTAGTAGGGTTAATTATCTTTGGTTGAGTTTTACTTATTTTTGTTAAGTATTTATTTGCGTTTGTAATTAAATAATGCTTTATTTAACATTGAAGTCTTGAGTTATACTTATTTATTAACGGCCATTGTACGTCACAAAAGCATATCTCCCAAACCCTGTTCTATCATCCAATTGTTCAAGCTCATCATGTTGCGCGCTGCTTTCCTCTGTCACTTGGTCATGTGAGTATCAGGTTTTCCGAGTCCTCTTTCTTCATTACGTACCCCAGAAATTTCAACTGACTCTTCCTGATGTATGGATAAAATTCTTTTTTTCTTTTTTCAATTTTCTCCAAAACCACGTCTATGATCACATGTTCGGTGCATGGTAGAATCAAAATTTTTCTGAGGAACAAAATTTCTATTGCTTCAGGTATCCCCTTCATCTGTGAAGAGATTGGATTGCATTCGCCGCCAGATAACAGGACAGATATCACGTAATAGTTCAATAGACTTTTCTATGCCTGCGTTTCTTCAAGTCTCTTCTTCATCTTTGAGGAGATTGTCCAATATTCGCTGCTTGACAGCAGGACAGATATCACGTAACAGTTCAGTACTCTTTTCTTTGTTTCTGTTACTTCAAGTCTCTTCTTCATTTTTGATGAGATTGTCCAGTATTCGCTGCCATACAAGACGACCGATATCAGGAAATAGTTCAGTACTCTTTTCTTTGTTTCTAACGAAATGTTTCCTGCCTCTTATTACTTTACTTAGCTTTTGGAATGCATCTATGACCATCACAATACGTAGGTTTCAGTGTCGCACACTTTCTGTCATCTGTTAGAACACTTCTTATAGTTAGGGATATTAGCTATAGCAAGATAAAAAAGATCAACCCTAAAAACAATGATCAAGGACTAATTCACACTGAATATATACAGAGATCAATTGGTAAATTGTCGCCATTTTATATTTTTAATTTCGCGCATGCGTGTTGTTTGTTTTTTAGGATCTTTTGGGCACGGTCTGTGAGACAAAGATGAAATCCAATTCGCTAGAAATTTGGAAACGGTATCCTATAGAGCATTCAAAGTGTTTAGGTTTGAATCAGAGGACAGTGCACAGATTTCGGAAAGAGTTGGATGATATATCCAGTCAACATCGTGTATGGACCTGCGAAATAAAGTAAAGTTACCAGAGAGACAAATATTTGAAGGAATCACTACGTATCCTTGGTTATGAGGACTCCCTTAGTAGGCCTAGCATAGAAATGAATAGAATATGGGAGCCGTAAAGAAAGAAAGAAAGAAAGAAAGAAAGAAAGAAAGAAAGAAATGCAATCTCTCACCTTCGTCTCCACAAAACAAAAATGGTTTGTCAAAAGTATGTTTTTTGTCTTGACCTTGCTATTATTGTAATTACAGTCACTCCTAGGCAATGTTTATTGTTTTAAAAAAGCAATTATTACAATTTTAATCAAACCTAAATATAGAAAGTTAATTTATCCATTTTTTTTATTTGAGAATTGACAACAAAAATAATAAACACTATTGTATATTGGGATGGTTGACAAAACACTGGCTTAACTGATTAATTTGAACTTTATAAAAATATAAATAATAAGGATGTCTTTATATTTGGTTCACATGTTTTCATTCAGTAAATGTTTATAAATTAAAAATCATTTTCATATTTATTTCTTTATAAATTGATAAATGATAAATAATGCATTGCATTGATATTAAATCTTACTACAATTGTATTAGTTTTTAGAATATTGTAAATACAAAATTATTCTTGTAACTAAACGATCTGTTAAATAAATACTATTTAATATTTTTGTTGTAAATTTTAAAGAACAAAATAAATCTATAAAGAGACTATCATCGTGTTTTTTTTATTCATTTTAATCGCGTTTTAAAACAATAAACGTTGCCGCGGAGTAAAAATAGTAAAAAAAAATAGTGTTGTTAAGGGAAAAACGTCCTTTTGACAAGGGTTTTTGGGTTTTTTTTGCACGCACGAAGGTTAAAGATTGCCGAAAGGAAGATCGATTTAAAAATATCAGCAGCAGTAGTAGAACTGGGAATATCTGGTGAATGCAGTCAAGGGTAACGAGCACCAAGAGCTGCAGTTTCATTAGCAGGAAGTTCTGCACTCAGTAAATTAAAACGTTACTTCTTGAATTCAGTGAAATAGTAATTTGGAGTTCAATTTCAGAACCGGAAGCTGCAGACTTTACACAATGGAAGCTGGACAAGACAAATTAGAACCAGACGATATATCCTTAGACATGGTGAGTGGAATATGAAGTCTAGCATCGCCGTAAATTAAATAAAGTGTTGTTAAGTTCGAAATTGCCTGCAGTTTAACTGGATCGACAAGCACCTAATGAAAGTCAATTCTTGTTACAACTAAAATATTGTTTATCAGTTTCGGATTTGTCCCCAATGAACACGAATTTGCTCGATACAATGAAGATGTCAGCTTGAAGCTGGAAATTAAATCGGTGTATACATTTGTTGTCGGTCCGTGTGTGTGTGTGTGTGTGTGTGTACTAATATTACGTAAAACAGTGACAGCCAATAAGTAGGCAGGAAGATTAGAAAGAAAGAATGAACGAACGAACGAAAGAAATAAAGAACGAAAGAAAGTACAGAAGGAAGAAAGGGAAAAATGAAAAATAGCATGAAAAAGAAAGACGAAAAGGGAAAAAGAACAATAGATAAGAAAGAAAGAAAGAAAGAAAGAAAGAAAGAAAGAAAGAAAGAAAGAAAGAAAGAAAGAGATAAAGAAAGAATTTGTAGGAAAAGAAAGAAAAATGAGTAGGGAAAGAAAGAAAGAAAGAATGGGTAGAAAAAGAAAGAAATAATGAGTAAGAAAAAGAAAGAAAGAAAGAAATAAAGAATGAACAAAAGGAAGAAAGGGATAAACGAAAAATAGCATGAAAAAGAAAGACGAAAAGGGAAAAAGAACAATAGATAAGAAAGAAAGAAAGAAAGAAAGAAAGAAAGAAAGAAAAAAAGAAAGAAAGAAAGACAGAAAGAAAGGGAAAAATGAAAAATAGAAAGACAAAAGAAAAAAGAAAAACGAAAAAGGAAAAAGAAAGAACGATGAGAACGAAAAAAAGAAGTTTAAAAAGAAAGTAAAAATAACGAACGGTAGGAAAGAAATAATAGAAAAGAAAGAAAGCAGAAAAAAAATGAAAGCACAATAGAAAAGAAAGAAAGAACGAAGGAACACTAGAAAAAAGAAAGAAAGCGCAATAGAAAAGAAAGAACGCATGAAAATAGAAAAGAATAAAAGAAGAAAGAACAATAGAAAAGAAAAAAGAACGAAGGAAGAATAGAAAAGAATAAAGAACAATAGAAAATATTAAAATAATGAAAGGACAATAGATAAGAAAGAAAGAAAGAAAGAAAGAAATAAAGAAAGGAAGGAGGGAAGAAAGAAAGAAAGAAAGAAAGAAAGAAAGGGAAAATGAAAAAATAAAAAGAAAAAAGAAAGACGAAAAAAGAAAAATAAAGAACAATAGATAAGAAAGAAAGAAACAAAGAACAGTAGTAAAGAAAGAAAGAACTATAAAAAAGAAAGAACAATAGAAAAAAGAACGAACGAACAATAGAAGAAAGTGCAATAGAAAAGAAAGAAAGAAAAAATAATAGAAAAGAAAAAAGAACGTACAATAGAAAAGAAAGAACAATTGAAAAGAAAGAAAAAAGAACACTAGATAATATAAAAAGAAAGAAAGAAAGGACAATAGATAAGATAAAAAGAAAGAAAGAAAGGACAATAGATAAGATAAAAAGAAAGAAAGAAAGAAAGAAAGGACAATAGATAAGATAAAAAGAAAGAAAGAAAGGACAATAGATAAGATAAAAAGAAAGAAAGAAAGGACAATAGATAAGATAAAAAGAAAGAAAGAAAGGTAGAAAGATTATAACGCATGAAGGAGAAAAATAGAAATTATTTAACAGAAAAAATAATCCCCAATTATCAAAATTTTATGAAGTAAAAAAAGAAAACTAATTGAATGCAGGAACGGTCGTATTTTTATTATTATTTTTTTGAGATATGTATGTATTGAAAAATACATTTATAAAAAGCATTAATTTAAAAAACAAAAAACAAGAAGGAAACAAAAACGAAAAGAAAAATTGAATAATGGCGTCGATGATACTGGAATGTGGAGGGCAGGGTGGGGAGTATTAAAAGTTTAAAGGTCAAGTAGACATGAGTCCTTCGTGACTTTTCCTGCTGTTTTCCAATTCACACATCGCAATTTCACATAACGAGAAGCTAATAAACCTGACTGACGATGACACCCTCCACCCTGGTCACTGCATCCCACAAGCACGAAAATACACGAAAAGCATATCGAAGTACATCTGTACACAGACACATTTTATATTTTATATATAATTGGAAACTTGCCAAGGCCGAGTACATTGCTGTCTGTTGAGATAATGTCCTTCTTTGAGAGTTCACCCAGTTAATCTCAGTCAAACCTCGACAGAGACATAAAATTCTATCAAAATGGCAATGGAAGAAAATAAAGAGAGAGAGAGAGAGAGAGAGAGAGAGAGAGAGGGAGAGAGAGTAAGAAATATCTGTATTCTTGTCTTTGAATGAAAAACGAAATGGCTAATTCCTTATCTTCTTGTCTTCTCTGTACTGTGTCCCTTCAGGGTGTTGACGTTCCTGCCTCTCCACAAAGATGATGCCTAGAAAGGCGAAACGCATAATCAAATCTAGTTTCAATATCACCTTATACCATTTGTCAAATTTCATGAAAACACACACACACACACACACACACACACACACACACATATATATATATATATGTGTGTGTGTGTGTGTGTGTATGTATATATATTTTGAACAATAAGAAAATAAAAAAAATAAAAAAAGTAAAGTCTTTAGACACACTGGGTTGTAGATTAATATTCTTTCGTTTTTTTTATTATTATTCCATTTAGATTCCTCGACTAGTTTCGACCAAAATGGCCATCACCGGGAGGAGAAATATTTCTGCTTGCTGTTAGCAGTGAACTACAGAAATGAATGTCTTGATGGAGAAAATGAACTTTTTGTCTGCAGTTTTCATTTGTTTTTTATTTTTTTTTTTTACCTTTTAACATGAATCTTTTAACATTCCTTGTGTTGGTCAAACAGTCTCTTTTAAGTTGTTATTTGAGATAAGAGCTGGATAGATACATGTTATTCTGAATTCTGGTCAGTTTGACAGTTTTATTGGACCTGGTGAGGGGATGTGTCTCTGTTTAGTGTTTGTGTGTGTGTTATTTGGTTCTTAGGGAGTGAGTGAGTATGATATGTGTAAGCGTGTGTATTGCTGTAGGTGTGTGTCATCATTTGGCTCCATTAGGGAGTGAGTGAGTATGATGTGTGTAAGTGTGTATATTCGTGTGGGTGAGTGTATAAGTATGAGGCCTCCACACCTCCATAAGCATGTCTGTCTTGTGTGGGTGAGAAATGTGGGTAGGTTTTGATTTGTTGAGTTATATATTGTTACTATCTATATATTGTTAATATATATATATATATATATATATATATATATATATATATATATATATATATATATATATATATATATATATATATATGAGGCATTCTTTTTTGTGTTAGTAATCCGAATGATATTCTTGAACAGTTTAAGAAAAGACATTCGGATTACTAACACATAGAAAAAGAATGTCTCATATCGAGAATATTTAACATCGAAAAACAAAGGAGAAAAAACATTAATTATTTTTAATAATATGTGGAAATCTCCACCCTTTACCTGATGACGGTCGAGAGACTAGAAACACGTGTAGTAAAATTATGGAAAATAAAGCATAACATTTCTTTAAAATGACAACCAAAAACGTTTGCGGTATCTCTCTTCTTTTTATTATAAAGACTTTTCTCTCGTTGGAACCACAATATACTGTATATTTGGGTAGAAACCGTTCTTTGAAATATCTTTCATTGAAAACGGTCGACAAGGACGATGTAATTAATGTGTTATTGAGGTTTTACAGCAATCTAACATTTTTCCGTTTTTCAGGTTTTAAAGAATATAGGAATTGTCCATAATTATAATTGTTCCGAGCTCTTCCTGCTAGTGTTATATTATCAAGGATGTTGCTTTGGTATGGTGAATTTCGTATGTGATGTTTTACATAGTAGCTTAGCTGTGTGGAGTTCCTGCTGAACAGTGTAAGATTGATAGCAGGGGAACGGTATTTAATAAGTAATGAATTCTCTGATTATAAGATGTCTTCTTAATTCGTAAATAATTATATAGGCCATACTACAATATGTTTGACACGAAGGCTCACACTATACCTTTCTGACCATAGTTAAGTTAGATCTTTTATATATTCATGGAGACCTACTTGACCATATTCGTTACATGTTGACAACACAAATATAATAGCATCATTTACATCCTAAAAAAGACTAAAAATAATGGAAGCCTTATTAATAAAAACGAAAAACCAACGCACAATAATATCAACTATGAATATGGACACAATATCTTGACCGTGTTTTGAAAATAAAACAATATATAAATACATAAACAATCTATTTCTTGTTAACAGTTAATATATGATAGTTTTTGGGTCAGAATTATCGGTACATAATTCTGGGTTTACCACAAGTTGAGGTACATACTTTGGGTCATGATAATTCAAGTTACTCTAATTAAAATGTCCTTTGTACGCCGAAAATGCATGGTTTTAAACACTTCAAAAATTACCTGTGTATAGTTTTACTCCTATTTTTGCTGTAAAAATTACCATAAAACACGCCCCATATATACGGCATATCTCCCAATGCATATGCACACATGTATCTCTATAGATACAAAAATATTCTTCTATAAATTTGCGCATGTGCACACGCATGCGTACTGGTGTGTTTCTTTTTCTTCTTATCTCTCATTGTTATGCACTCGTGAGATCATAGCAAATTCGTTTTGGATTTTGATACAAGACACGCTCTTGTTTTGCTGTTTTTGTTCACAATAGGCGAGAATTAGAAAGGATGTAGTTAGAGTAAGGAAGCAACAGAAAACAGGCTAGAGGAAACAAAAAGACCTTAATTAAATACACACACATCGTACGGAAATAACTTGAATAACTCAGATAGTACCCAAATCAATATTTATAAATATTTAATTTATACAAAATATGGCACAAGGTCAAAATGGGGAATAGAGAGAAGAACGGTCTTCTATCTTAACAGTAAACTTAACTAGCCACCATCACTAACCCAAACATACCATAATATTCCTAACACCAAAACAATACATTCTCACTTAACATTCTTACTACAACCACCATAATACCTCGATGTTTCTATGGAGTCCTAACTAGTCCAAAAAGTATTCAAATTTTATATTTAAGGTATATATATATATATATATATATATATACAAAAGATGGTACATGGCCAAAATGATGTATGGTGAAAAGAGCGGTCTTTTTCTGTTTTAGCATTAAACTTAGCTAGCCACAATCACTGTCCCAAACATACCACAATATTCCTAACTTTACTTACCATTTTTACGACAATCACTTTAATACCTCATGTCTCTACGGAGCCCTAACAATTCCAAATAGCACTCAAATACTCCTCTAATGTTGTTACTTGCCGTATTTATAAATAGGAGCAGTCCATTTTCACTGAATATGGAAGAACAGGATACTCTTACTCTACAACACATTCACAACTATTTGCTCGATTTTGTTTTCAGAAATTCATATTTGTTTCTCTCAAATACCGGGGCCATAAATTTGTTAAAGATATTTTAGAGTGTTATCTTTCATTTTCAACGGATTCCTTCCTGGGTTTATGCACAAATATATAACGGTATCAACTTTTGTTCAAAACTCTTACACACGGTTGTTCTGTTCTAATCAACCTTTCTATCACTCCGTCCGTCTGTACCAATCTCTGTTCATATCAAATTTTTAAGTGTGGTGCTTTCTTACCATTTGTTGTGTCTAATCCATTCTTCTTAAACCATTCAAATCAATTAGTTCTCTTCTGAGACTGAAATGAAGATGTGTAGACTGAGAGGTCGAGGTACAGCATAGTGATTAGTTACATCAGAACAGATAGATAACATGTTCTGTTCTTAGCTACCTAATTATCTGTGTATTTATACTGACCTCTTCATATCTATCTCATTGTTGTCATCCTATCTATCTCTTTTTCCATCTATTTGATTCTGTTCATATCTATCTATCTATCTATCTATCTATCTATCTATCTATCTATCTATCCCAGCCGGTTCATATCTATTTCATTGTTTCTTTCTATCTATCTATCTACCTATCTATCTATCTATCCCAGTCGGTTCATATATATTTCATTCTGTTTCTATCTATCTATCTATATCTATCTATCTATCTATCTATCTATCTATCTATCTATCTATCTGATCCTGTTGACGCAGCAGCATTCAAAACAAAATTTATGAAAGAGCAACTTAATGATTTTCACGGCCATCATGCACAGGTGTATGGATATAGATATACCTGGAATGGTTTTCCAAGTGCTCTGTCAGTCCTCTGGGTTGAGTTGGAGATGTTAACCTTCGTTAAGATATCCAGTTAAGTGAGGAAAACCCCCAATGTAACACCTGCAGCTTAGCCTCCGAGGATGGCGACTGATCCCTCTTTTTAGGAACCTAATCTTCATGCTAAAAGAGTGCGATTGGACCAGTCAACGTATCTTGTACACTTTGGAAGCCCAACTCTTGCTAGATATCATAAATCAAAATTGAGTCTGACGATAGCCATAATCAACAACGATTTGTCGGCAAGAACGTGGCTACATCAGTGAGTGTTTCCCTCTCAAAGGTTGGATATAGGCGGTCTTGCTGAAAAGTTTTCAGCCCGATCAAGAACGATTTTTAAACAGAATCTGATAATTTTGTCATTTGTTTTTGGTTGTAAGAATTGGGAAGAGCCAAGATATTTTGCGAACATTCTGGTAGAGCAGAGAGTGGGTCTCGTTGCTCATTTGTCCTGTCCAGGATGTGTGTGTGTGTGTGTGTGTGTGTGTGTGTGTGTGTGTGTGTGTTTAATCGTGGCCTATGTTCTCCTTCAGGATTCTGTATGTCTGTTTCTGTATGTGTGTGCATCCTCACTGCTCATATGCTCCACCCGAGTTCCATCAGTATGTGTGTGTGTCCTCGCGGCCTATATCCTCCGTCCAGAAGGTGTGTGTCTGTATGTGCGTATGTATATGTGTGTCTGCATATGTATGTGTGAAGGTGTGTGTCTGTATGTGCGTATGTATGTGTGTGTCTGCATATGTATGTGTGTGTCTGCATGCGTGTCCTCTTTACTCATATGCTCCATCCGGATTGCGTCAATGTGTGTGTGTGTGTGTGTGTGTGTGTGTGTGTGTGTGTGTGTGTGTGTGTGTGTGTGTGTGTGTGTGTGTGTGTGAATTATTAATGCGTTTGCTTCTATGAGCTTTCCAATTTTTACTTTAGCAAAACTCAAGAAAAGCATTGGACAATCTCCATTTCAAAAAGATCCGGTCTGTCTGTCTTTCTGCCAGTCTGTCTGTCTTTCTGTCTGTCTGTCTGTCTATCAAGTAATTGAGAACACAGTTGTAACATAAAGGAAAACAAAGATATTTGATAGAGAAAAAATCGCTACATTTTCAAAAGAATTTGTATAACAGAGAGAAAAAAACAACAAAAGGTTATTCAATAAAAGTGTCTCTTTCCTGATGAAGGCCTCGAAGCAAGATAAGGAGTAGGTGTTCTTCAGTCATATTGGCAGTCGTTTTAATAATGTCGGCTTTCAAAGAACCTTGTCATTCTGTGTCCTATAGTAAAGTAAACAATGTAAATATCATAGTTATAAATGTGACACTTAATAAAAAACGAAAACTAAACAGAGATGATTCTACCCAAACAATAACGATAATGGATGAAAAATGCTTCATTTAATAAAAATCGTGATGAAATTAAATATGAGCAATCAATAACAATGGCTGACAATGTTTCATCGAATAAAAAAATGAAGATTTAATTAATATTAGTAAAAGATTTTATAATTCTGCTTGCCCATCCCTTGAATGTATTCGCACGACCGTTACGCCCTGCCAATAAATAATGAACTATTCCATTTTGATCAGGCGCAATGGCGGACATATCAGATATGCTACTTTGTTTCAGTCAAGAAAAGAAAGAAAAACAGACACGAAGATAGAAGAGGCCATGTGTTTAACCCTCTCTCTCATTGAAATAGAAAAAAAAAGGTTGTCAATTACAAATCATTTTATTTTAGCCCCTTATTGCTATTGAAGTATTTTGTTAATTTTTTGAAGTTCAAATATTTAACGATGCGACTGTGGAATTTTATACAGATATTTTATTGTCGGAGAACACTCCTTGAGCTTACTTAATTATCAACTTAAAAATCAAGATTCATCAGAAATTTCAAATAAGAAAACCGTGAAATTTTTACAATTGTTTTTAGTATATTTTTTTTCTTCAGCAATTACCTTTTAGTGGCTACCTGCATTTAAGTAGACACCCCGTTTATTTTAAGCAGTATCTATTTCGTCTACCGGACTGCGTACTTGAGAAACCTCAAAAAATGTGCTATCCGAAAGAAATCAAACCAACGTTCCCCTTTGTAGGAGAAACCATCGGCTGATCCGGCTTCATTTTATCAATCCGCTACGAAGAGTGTCTTAATATGTCAAGCGACTATTCTGGATTTAAATCACACTAAATCGTTCAGAACACATATCTGCTTCGTTCTGTATCCAAAACATAAACATATTCGATTTCTAAAGAATTAATCGATCTTATTTTTTTTATCCGACATATTTTAATTATTTCAAACGTTATTTTTTAACGGGTAGACGCTCCGTGAAAACCGTGGAATTTTCATGGGTATTTGTAGTTATTAATAATTGTAAAAGATGCTTCGTGTATTAATGTTGTGACCAAGTAAACAGTTAAGTAATAGCAAAAAAACAGGTTTGCAGATATATCGTATGTAAGAAATATGTTAAAAATATTTTCCTGTGCGCGTTATATTTGGAATTATTTTGCTCCCGAATATCACCATTTATGGTCACTAGTTTTTAATATTCTTATTTGAATATGATATCATAAACGAAGGAGAGTTTCCATGTTGATAAACATACATAAACTAAACTAAACGAAGTACAAGGTAACCAAAAAAGTTCTGTCCGTTTTTTGATTAGTCATTGAATGAAGTTGAAATATATATGAAATGCGTGTAGCAATTGTTTTCAAATTCGGACAGCCGGAAGTAGGAACATCAGGCGTTATAAAAAACACGCACACCGTGCCCGGCCATCAGTTATAAGCCGGACAGCTGTGAAAAGGATGGAAATGTCTAGAGATCTCGTTCGGCGCTGTTTGCTTTACGAATTCAAAGTGGGTTTATCAGCAGCCGCATCAAGTCACCACATATGTCAAGCGTTTGGGGATAGTGCTGTGGATGAACGTACTGCAAGGCGTTGGTTTCGAAAATTCAAGTCGGGAGATTTGTCTCTCCATGATGAGCCTCGCAGTGGACGACCACAGGTCTTGAATGACGGAGTCCTGAAGGCGGCCATTTGAGAGGACAGTAGTCTAACGTGTGGTGAACTTGCAAGACAGTTCAACGTTTCCGATGAATCTGCACCGCCTAGGTAAGACGTACAAACTGTGCAAGTGGGTTCCGCAAACGCTGTTGGAGGTCCACAAGGGACAACGAGTGGCAGCCTGCGTATCGCTGCTTTCTCACCACCGTACCGCATTCTTATTCAATCGAGTGCTTACCAGTGATGAAAAGTGGGTTCTGTATAAAACTCCCAAGCGTTCCAGACATTGGTTGTCTCCTTAGGATGCTGACACTCACACCGCAAGACCACCTATGCACCACGCAAGATTATGCTTTGTGTCTGGTGGACAGGTCGTCAAGTGGTTCATTATGAACTGCTACCAACGGGCCAAACGGTCACTGGAGACCTATACTCGCAGCAATTGAAACGTGTGCAGCAGGCATTGCGCCAGAAGGTGAATCGCAAAGGTGTGTCTTTCCTCCATGACAACGCCAGGCCGCATGTCGCACGAGTGGTCAGAGATACCATACAGCAAGTTGGGTGGGAGACTTTGTGCCATCCACCTTATTCACCTGACCATGCGCCATCCGATTACCACCTCTTCCACTCCCTGGATAATCATCTTTGTGGGAAATCCTTCATCAATGAAGCAGACTTGCGCAAAGCCTTCACGGACTTCTTTGCGTCAACAACCGAGTTCTACCGCAAGGGCATTGAACAGCTGCAGACACGTTGGCAGAAGATGCTGGATGCCGATGGCGATTACTTCGAAGACTAAATATAAGTTACACATACTGTGAAGCATTTTCTTTTTTTCCTTTAAAAACGGACAGAACTTTTTTGGTTACCTTGTATAATTAAGTGCGGTCATCGGCTTGAATAAGATCAATTATTTTTCGTATGATTTATCTATTCACAAAATATCTTCCTCTGAATGGAAAAAGAATATAATGACTTCATATTAGAAAGGTTGATAGTTTACACAAAATTTGTCAGTTGCAAGGAATTGAAGTAAAGTTTGGTAGAATTTTTGATCAAGATAGTCGCACTTAGTTATTCTTTTTGTACCAGGTTTATTTATTCCTGAGATGCATTTAAATCATTTTCTGCACCTTAAATCAGTTTTAAGAAAGAACAATGAGAAATTTATTTATTGAAAAAAAAGTTTGAACAATCGCAATGATGGAGAAAGCATTATCGCGAACCATCGCCTGTGAGACACACTGCAAGAGCCACTCCGTTTTATCGTATATTAAACAGTAAGTACACCAGAAGAGTATTACTCGACTAGAGAGTGTATCGAATGAACTAGCGCTCAATCTATTCACTGTTTCCTGTTGCCAGAGCCTTCTCTCCTACTAAATTTATAGTAGGCGGAAGAGTTTAACATAGATTCTTAAAAGGGAGGACACCACAACAATTAGTAACAAATATGAATGTAAATACAAGTTTCAAACTTAATAATAATGCGCCTCTCCAAGTTCTCTACCGCCTTAACCAGGTATTGAACACACACTCTTTTGGGCCCTGTCACTGGATCTAACTAACGCCAAAAGAGTGTGAGTTCAATAGCTGGTTAAGGCGGTAGAGAACTTGGAAAGGGGAATTAACAAGAGTTAAAAATAATGGTTGACAATACTTCATCGAATAAAAATAAACATGAAATAAAATATATTTTTTTTTAGCATTTCACCCTAAGCAAGGTGGGAAGCCACTGGCACACAAGGAGTTTCAGAGGATTTGGAGCGAGAGCGGATAGGAGTGATAGAGGAAAGGCTGAGGAGAAGGATAGTGGATAGATCAAGGCAACTGGAGATGTTTATTGACATTACATAGTTGGAGATTATAGCTATCAGGGAAACAGGAAAAAGGAAGGGGGTTCCACAGGCGAGAGGTGAGAGATGTGAAGCTATTGGAGTAGAAGAGACGGCCTCATTTAACAGTTTCAACAGTGAAAGGGTGAGAGCGCGATGCCAGCCTCGTAGGGCGCTTGAATTCATGAAGTCTGGGAACCAGCGAAAGCAGCTCATCGGAGCAATTACCATGAAAGTATTTGTAAAAAAAGAAAGAGAGAGAGGCAACGGCACGTCTATAAGAGAGCGACAGCAGACGAGATGCCAGATCAGGGGCAATTTCATTGCATATCCGTCTCTGGATCTTATCAAGAACCTTGAGACAAACAGAAGGGGCTACAGACCATATATGGCAGCAATACTCCATGCAAGGGCGAAGGGTTGATTTGTAGATCTGAAGGATATACATACAAATGACAAACAATGCTTCATCTAATAAAAACTAAAATCGTTGATGTTACGACTGATAAAAGTATTGCAAAAAAAAATATAAAAAAAAATGATATTGCGCCGAGAGAGATCACGGTATAAAGAGGTTGGCTTATAGGCTCAGATTTTGTTTTCTCCAAAGCATTCAAGTTCTGGCAGCTAATCAGTTAAGCGAGTGTTTCTCAACCTCTTTAAACAACTGCCCACCTAGGAGCAAATGAAAATATCACGGCTCACTTAGCAAAATTTTTAAAAGGTATACATTGAAATGTTATGAAATAAAAGTTTGCAAGAACATCGTAAAACGGTAACACAAGGAGAAGTAGAAAAATCAGGCATTGCTGACCACATATGGAGGGAAAAGGGTGATCACAGACCTCTATGTGATGAAGTTGAAATAATAGACAGAGTGCATCACTGGAAAATACGAAAACTCAAGGAATCAGCACATATGCTAAGCCACAAAATTCTCCTGGGCTGATCAAGCATAGATATGAATATAATATGAGAACCAGTAATAAGGATTGCTTCAGAAAAGCAATGAATAACAAACAAAAAAAATTGCAATATAAGATATGGTAAAAAATATAATAATAATAATTGAAAAAATGCAATATAAGCTATGGTAAAAAATGGAATAATAATAATTGAAAAATTGCAATATAATCAGTAGTAAAAAATGATTGCTGAGACATTAGGTTTATAAGTACCAAAAATTCATACACAGATGTCCTCAAGGACACATGGCCCAGTGGAAAAAGTCATTGTTTAGATCAAATGACTAAAGCCAAAAAGTTGTGAGTTCAATAACAAGCCACAGCCGTGGTGAACCAAACTTGGAGAATTGAGTTAAAGAGAAATAACTGAGACATCCTGACAAAATAAAGTTTTCGGTCCGAACTTCCGGAGAGTACAACGGCCGAAACGTTGGAAATATGGCAAGATGAAGATAACAGTCCGAATAATATAAATAATGTAAGTGAAACAAAACCATAGATTTAAAAAGAAATACAAATATGAATATACTTTATTGCAATGTTTCTATTACAACTATTTGTGCAGCTTATTTAGTGTGAAACCTTTGTCTGGTGTTTTTACGCGATTTCTTCAATGTTTGGTCGAATGTGCAATAAGCAGACCCATATTTATTTCTTCTCCCGTTAAGCGTCGTCTTTATCGCTTCTTATTTTTGATGTTATTTAGGGTTGAGAAGACAAATTCACAAAGATAAGAAGTAGAAAATTGCAATAAAACTGATAAAGCTAATGTCGAATACTTCTTTTGTATTGAAATCCAAACTGTATCAATGTGTAACGTCGAATGTGTATTTTGAACCCTCGATCACTAGAAATGGTGGCCAAATTTTCTTTTTCTTCTTCTTCTTTTTCTTCTTCTTAGTCTCCTACTTCTTCTTTTTCTTCTTTTTCTTCTTCTTCTTCACATAAGTTCAATATTAAAAGGAACAATTATGAATGTATTTCGAATTCAATCATACTTTTCTGTGCTCAGTGACGGGAAATAAATCTCGATGTTTTCCTCGAGCGCTTACAGATTACTACTTCCACACACACACACACACACGCACATACACACACACACATATATATATATATATATAAAGAAGTTAAATGCTCAAATAATATCATGATATTAAAAGGGAGTAGTGAAGACAAAAGGTTTTAATGGTTACGTGACGGCGATGCTATTGTTGAGTGAAATATTTAGGATAAGAAATATCTTATCCGTTATTTAGGGTTCACAAGCCTATTTCACGTAAATAAGTAGAAAATTGCAATAAAACTGATAAAGACCTTTTTTTTTCAGCCAATGTGGGATATTCTCTTTTTTCTCTCGTAGGTTGACTTGTCTCTTGTCAACTTTTAGTGAAACTGACGCACAGGTCGATCAACATATCAAAAATAGGCATAATCATATTAACATATGACAAATTTTAGTAGATATCACCTAAATATTATATAAGACCCAATGCAAAGAAAAGCTATGACTATATATATATATATATATATATATATATATATATATGAATTTTGTAGAATATTTAGATAAGTTATTGTCATTTACAATCACCTATATTTCGTTTCAACGTCTCTAATTGTTTTATTTATTATGCTACACACACACACACACACACACATATATATATATATATATATATGTATCTATATATATATAAAGAAATATACTCTTAAGGTGTGGATAAAATACTCAATATCAGATATAGAGCACGTGTAAATATATGTGACAATATTTCGCGATATGCATAAAGGCGATTGAGAATCACTGAGTTAAGGGCTTGGTAAGTTTGTCCTAGTTTCATTTCAACAAAAGTAACGTGGGTTTGAATTTCACCGAGAAATTGTCCTTGATTTCAAATCTGCATCCCCATTATCGACTTAGAAAAAAATAAGCAAATATCTACAATAATAGTGAATCATGAAAGACTTCTTGATATCTGCCTGGTTCGTTGGCTTTCGCATGTGATGTCTACGGCCGTACAAACGTGAGGAATAAAATCGATTTCTCTATTCATCTGTCAGCAAGCAGGTCTTTTGAAGTGCGTACCTTTGTACGTGCCGCTCTCCAGGATCAGCTGAGAAATACATCACAGACTAAAAGCTCGTCTCTAAATTACTCTCATTTGCGCATTATTTGTTGACCGATGCGACATTGATATCGTAGTTTGGTCGGCAGCTCCAAGCATCGGTGGTTCCCGAACGAATGCTTTTGGACGCTACGTGAAATTGATTATCGACCGGGGGGCGGCAAATGGTGTTTACTAGAGCGGAAAATCAAATGGAGATGCTAGTTGAGCTGTGGCGAAAATGAAAGTGAAAGTAGGTGATTGTGAAGTTGCAAATAAAGAAAAAATGTATAGATTGAATATAAAAGTCAGTGAGGGAAACATAATAGCTGTGAAGTTATGAGAAAGGGAATCATTACAGGCAAAAATATCGCGCATGCGCGCAATAAAAAGAATGGTTTATAGAAAATCAAAGGAATAATAAAATGAACACTTCCTCGATTCCTATTTTTGTATTCTTTTTACCCCAAGCAAAGGCAATAAAGCCACTAAGACGCAAGAAGGATACCGAGAGATACAGAATGTGAGGGAAATAGTATTACGATGAGAGAACATTGAAAGAATAAAAATTAAGCAGATAACAATTTTGAAGATGAGATTTGACTGGGAATAAATAAGCCGGAAGAGGTTTACACACTCAAGAAGTGCAAGAGAAGAAACTGTTAGCATAGAACTTACGGTTACATCTCGCCATTTCAACTGTAAAATGATGAGACGTTGCCGCCAGTCTAGTAGAAGATCAAAGTTGACTTGGAAGGAAGAAGCAGGAAGAGAGTTCCACAAGCGAGTAAGAAACTGTTAGCATAGAACTTACGGTTCCATCTCAAATTTCAACTGTAAAATGATGAGACCTTGCCGCCAATCTAGTAGAAGATCAAAGTTGACTTGGAAGGAAGAAGCCGGAAGAGAGTTCCACAAGGGAGAAAGAAACTGTTAGCATAGGATTTACGGTTACATCTCGACATTTCAAGTGTAAAATGATGAGACCTTACTGCCTATCTAATTATGTACTTAAATTCATTAATAATGGGAAGTCCATCATAACAACGACCATGAAAGTATTTAAAGAAATGGATGATGGAAGCTATGTTAGAGCAATGGGAAAGTAACTGTAGCTGAGATGCCAGGTCATGACCAGATATATTGCGGATTACTCTTTGGATTTTGTCAAGAATCTCTGAATATAGACGAGGAGCACCAAAACATATGTGGTAAAAATATTTAAAGCAAGAATGAATGGTAGGCTTATAGATATGCAGAAAATATTCTGGATAGAAAAATTGTTTAGCACGACACAGGGAATAAACTTGGATTTGATTCATTATAATCTTTCCACTTCATGTCAGCGAAAATCGTTTGGCCGAAAAGGTGCAATGAATCATTCTCCTGCAGGAGAGCATCTGCCATAGTAATGGAAGTTAGAACAGGTCCTTTCAGATGATTAGCAATTTCATTTAAGGAGCGTTAAAATAAAGAAGCCATTTCTTACCCAGTTAAGAACAGAATGTAAAACAATTTTAAGATCAGCTGCCAATTTGATCTCTCGAACCTCTCTTTAAAGCCCTGTGTGGTTACAGCACATGAGTGACCATGTCTATTTGAATCTACTTATTCTTCAATATTTGACCCCTCGGAATTTTTGTTGTGCCATCTATTTACTTACTAGGTTACATTCTCCCTTCGGTATATCTTATGAGTGGCAAATTTTCCAAGCCTTATTTTTCATTATATACTTCAGAAATTCTTGCTCTCTCTTCCAGATTCCAATTTTCCCTAAAACTTCCTCGTTAATCACATGGGATTCTCATCATCCTTTGAGCACCGTCTGTGTGAAAAAGAGAACCATGAAGCAATTCACTCCGCCAGAAATTTGGAAACAGCATGCTGTACTGCTTGGCATTCGCACCGGAAGTTTCAATAGGAACATTTCAGAGATTTTCAATCTGAGGAAGGGGCAAAAGATTCGGAAAGAGTTGGATGATATATCCAGTCAACATGGGATTTGTAATGATCCCTAGTGACGGCGACGTAATGCCTCGATTCATCTTCACATAGGGCCTCAAATTCAACACGGTGGCCTACATCAAGTGCGTTGAAGATGTAGTGCTGCTCTACTGGAAGACCCTGTGTCTGGCATGTTGTTCATAATGACGGTCGTCTTCGAGTATAGAATCCAGAGGTTAGCAGTGAATATTTCGAAGACAGTAGGAAAGCGTTGTTCAGGTTAGCAGTGGATATTTTGGTAAAAGTAGCAGAGTGTAGTTCGTCCTTCTGGTTCTCTTCGCCTGACAAGCTGGACTGGACATTCGGGTAGAGTGAACAAAAATGGCCGCCTTTATACACGACGGATTGAATATTCTACGTCTTCTGATTGGTTAACCTTCTATTGGTGGACTATAAAGTGAGTTGTCATCTTGACTGGCTCACTAGTTACATAGATATACACAAAAAACTGTAACATAGAAACAGGACTCTTTATCATGCCACACAAGCAGGGGAATCTCGTAATGGTTGTTAGACAATTTCTGCGACCACATACCCACATACATCTGGCTACTTAACTCCCCGGGCTGCAACCCCTTCATTATTATGTGTAGGGAACAATTGAGTCTAAGATCAACAAAACTCCTTGTAACACTGTTGTGGATTCCGGGTTGAAATCCGGTACCAATAAATAACAAACGCCATGAATGAATATAGGAAAATAATGTATTAATACAAAATGGTAATGCAGGTAGTAGTTCCAGGAATACGGGTTAGTAGCAAAATATATATACAGTTTTTGGTATTGTAGTATCGCTGTCTGACTTCTTACTGAGTCTACGTGCTCGCTCACGGTGACTCTTGCAGGCTACGTCGTTCTGTCTGTCTGTTACCTTCAACCGTTCACTCTCGGTCTGTCTCGCTCTGAATCGGGTCTTCACGTAGCAGTAGTATATGTATATACTGGGTGAGTCCATTTGTGTAGAAAAGGGAGGACCCCTCAAAAAACACCTTAGATGAACTGAAGACAAGGATGATGCTGGAGGAGAAGTGATGGATTCATAACATTCCGAATACAATTATCCTTGCTGTTTCTCTTTTCTCGTAAACCTTCATCACCCGTCAAATTTCATTTGTTTCTTTGTTTAAAGGCATATCATTTCCTTATGGGTCATTTAATGCCTAAATTAACTTTTCTTGGGAGCTTTGAAGTAATAAAAATACAATTGACTACATGGTAGATGATACTCAGCTTTTGTGCATATATATATGATTGCTAGAGCCGGTGATATATGTTTTATGTTGTAGTTTGTAAAGTTCTATTTTGGAATACAGTTGAATTTCTTTTTAAAAAAATGTATGTTATTATGTGGATTAATGTCATGAGTTCCTTCATGTAAGTTGTTTGATCCATTGAGCTTGTTTAGAGGTCTTATTATATTCAAATTTCACGCCAGAAAGTCAAAGTTATCCAGAGTTGACCTAAAGTATTTCCGGTCACCGAATGAAGAGATACGTACCCTCTGACCTGTACCCCATATTGCAAGCGCACCAAGGAGAAAGTTAAGACAGACTGATATTTAAACAACATCCACAGAGTTGATTTAAGCTAGGGACCTCCACTTTTTCGGCATAAATTTTCGATACCCATGTTTAAAATGAATTTTTTAAAACGAAAAAACATTCTTGAATATTTCATTTTAGCTTTAATTGAAAGTTTAATAATTAAATTTATTATTTATTATTTTCATTAAGTAAGCAATTCTGGTGTATTTCAGATAGAAAATATATACATTGGAATGTCAAATTTAATTTTGATTTCTTAAATTTTCTTAAACGCGGTTATTTTCTATAATGTCCTTAATAATAGTTATTTACAAAAGCAATTAAAAGCTTTCCTCTAATGTCAGTTTTATTGGATTCATTA